AAGGAAAGATTTTTTATTAAATCAAGCCAAACGCCTCATAGATGAAGCCCTCGGAGAGCCTCACGCTGAACAAAGGTATGAGGGAGAGGAGTGGGAGGCAACCCCAGCCAGAAGAAGCCAAGAAGCCATCCCCCTAAATCACTCTGGGCTAGCACCACAGCAAGCAGCAACCCTGGGGCCCTCAGGAGAAGGAGTAATCGCCAGAAGATGTAGAACTCCAAAGTTGCCTCCATTGGAAGTAAAATATGGGGGGATCCCAAGGAGTTGGGATTTTTCCTAGCACAAGTTTGGCGCTATATGGAGGAATACGGAGGGGATTTTTCCTCAGAAGCAGCCAAGGTTAGATGTGTTACCAGGCTCTGGAGGGAACAGCTGCAAAGTGGATGGCGACTTTGCATAATGATAATGCTCCCCAGCTGTTGAATTATAACCTGTTCATGACTGCGCTGAGGGCAAGGTTTGAGGACCCACTGGCAGAATGTAAGGCCAAGATTAAGATGAAGACCATAAATCAGGGGTGGAGATCAGTGGCTGACCACACCCAGAAATTTAGAGAACTGGCGTGTCATATTCGAGGCTGGTCCCAAGTGGCCCTGATAGAATCATTCGAAGATGGGTTCAATGAAGATATATACCAGAGCTGCATTGCCAGAAGAGACCGCAATGATCTGCAGATGTGGTACGTGCTGGCAGCAGAGGTGGAACTTGATTTAACCTGAAACAGACATCGAGGAGGCCCTCCCCCACACGGGCTTGAGAAGCCTTCAAACCCCAAAAGGGAGGGATGGCGGCAAGACTCAAGACTACTGTCTGCGACTCATTGGACTAACGTCTTTTTTCTAGGAGGGCCGAATGTCAGCCTTCAAGTTCTTCCTCCTTTACTTTGCTTCTTTCTGGCTGCCATGAGTAACGGGGAGTGGGGGTGGGGATGGAAAGTGTTGAAACTGTTAATAACTAATATTGTATAAACTGGGGAGGGTTTCTCACTCCTGCTTAGCTTTCTCTTCTCTGAGCAACTGCAACCCTTTATCTGAGTAAGCCAAGGTCAACTAATCATCACCACCTAGAGATGTCCGCATGATGTAGTTCACAACATTTAATTGGAAGAGCTGTTTGAACTGTTGGGGGTGGGAAAATTTCACTCCCTGATGTGCGTGCCTAATTACCCAGATTCAGAATTTTCTTGTTGCCACCACTAACTTCCAGTAAAAGACATCTTTTCTCTAATTACAAGAGTCTAAGTATTTCTTTCCTGGATTTCGAACAGAGAAGCAGCTGACAGTATATTTCCTTTCACCTCTCCCATCTTGCTTTTTATTTCTTCATAGCTTCTTGATATTGATTTCTGTGTCTTCATCATCATTTCTTGGAGCATGTTCAAAGTTGTCTTTACATTCTGTAAATTTGAAGTGGATCCTGATTTCTCGCTTCTTAACATATTCTCTGTCGACCTTTGTCCAGAAGGGGAAGCCACCATTGATGTTGTCTTCTTTCCTGACTTAGTGATTGTTGTTGTGGATGTCATCTTCAAAATTGTATATAACTGGCTCCAAAATACCATATATCCCTAACTCTTCTGGACACCTGTCTTATAACTATTGTCTAGTATTCACAAATAGCATGTTGGCTCCTTCCTTTCCTGGGTGTCTTGATCTTTACTCATTGTCTCTTGTATGTTATTTTCCAGCTTTCCCTCTATGCCATGCATTATATTCTTAATCTCCTTGTGGTTTCTTATTGTAATGTCCTTTATACTTTGATATATCAACACCATATCTTCCAAAATTCCACTCACTTCCCCCTGATGGAGCATCTTTTAATAGGTCCCGCTCTTATCCAGTAGTCCAGGAACCATAAATTCAAGCTAAAATGGCTCTTCCAAAAATACACTGATCATAATTCCTTATGTCCCATAGTTAATCCTTCAGTTCCCTTTAAGTAGTCCAGAAGGTTGTTCAAAATCTCTTTAAATCCCCTTTATGAATTCAATTATGTATCATGAATTCAGGGGTCACTTTAATTAGACATTTCCTTGTTCTTACATTTAAATCTCTGGTAGTCATAGTGTACATGCATATAACTCAGTAAATATCTTCACAGTCCTCCAGATAAATATTGTTTATTCCATATCAAAATTCCTGCCAAACTTGTAAATATATGCTGTATTTCCTTTCATTAGCAGGTGGCACTCTCAGCTAAAATTTCAATGTTATTATGAAACCAACCAGTTTCAATCCAATTTGATTTTAATTCAATTCATTAAAACAGGGTTGACTTTTAAAGTAAATAGCTCCAGCATTTTAAAATGCCTTCCCAAAACAACGCCTTCTCAATTTAAAAATCCAATTTTCTGTATTTTTAAAGGATTTTTCTTCCCTTGGTCTTTTCTTTCCAATCTAGTATTTTTTTCAAAATGTTCACTCGCCACTTTAACAAGTAGTTCTGAGCAAGTCATTGTCCTGGATTTTTCCTTTTGGGGTTAGGCTTTGAGTAAAAAGGAATCCTCTCACCAGTTCCAAACATTGTTCACTAACTCCGCTCCAACACTAGTCTTAGCTGTTCCTTGGCTGTCCCAGTTTCATGGCATCCATCTTTAGCTGCCTCTTCTTGTGGCTGAGAGAGAAAAGAAAACCCTGGGTCAAGCATGGGAGTTGCAACTCTCTAGACCTCACAGAGAACTCCTCTTTGCTTTTGCCGTCCTACAGGGTGTGGCTTTGACTTCTTTTGGAGCCCACCAGAACTCGGCACAGGAGCATGAAAACCTGCTGTGAGGCCCAGACTCTCTCCCCTTCAAACGATAAGAATGAACTGGATATTTCAAAAGGAATTCTTTATTGAAACGGAAGTTATCCAGGTACTAGTCAAAGCAGAGTCTAATGTGCCTCCAGGTATGCAGCATAGATAAAGAGAGTTAGAATCTCTCCTCTTAGTCTGATGTGAATTTCATCAATATAAAGAAGCAACATATTAATTTCCCCCCCTTTTCTGGGAACATAGTTGAGAAAAATTTCCCAGGAAGTTTCTTTTGGAGCTGGAATTCTTATGGCCCTTTCTCCTCTTGCTATCTCTCCAAGAGGTGACAAGTTTCCAGGCATCTGGGCTCCAGCCCCCAGTTGTATATCATGTGCAAGATATACAGATTTAGTACAAGACTTAAGATATTCAAGTTACATAAAAAAGGATTACTTGTACCAACTCCCCCCCTTCTTCCTTTGAAGAATGGCAGATATATGGATGCTACATCGCTAGTGTCTGCTTGGATGACAAATGGTTGTTCAGTGTCTGAGTGTTTCAGGATTGGTTCTGTTGAGAATAGCTATTTAAGTTTTTCAAATGCTGCTTGGCATTCCATCGTCCAGGTAGGGGGTTGCCTTGGCTTCAGCTTCTCCCCCCTTTCATTTTTAACAAGCTTGTGATGGGGAGGGCGAAAAGCTCGAATGAACTGAAGGTAAAAGTTTGCAAAACCAAGGAAGCTTTGCAGTTGTTTGTGAGTATGGGGTGGCTCCCAATCAATGACAGCTTTTACTTTTTGTGGGTCCATCTCTATTCCCTTGTGGGATATTCTATATCCCAGGTAGTCATTTTTTTTTGATGGAACTCACATTTAGAGAATTTTGCATATAGTTTGGCATTTTGGAGTTTTGTGAGAACTGCTCGGAGTAACTTTATGTGGTCTTCATTTGTTTCAGTGTAGATTAAAATGTCATCGAGATAAACTAGAACCCCTTTGTACAAAAAATCATGGAGAACCTCATTAATTAGTTGCATAAATATGGCAGGTGCCCCGTGGAATCCGAAAGGGAGCACTTTAAATTGGTAGCATCTCAGTGGGGTGTTAAACGCAGTCTTCTACTCACCCCCCTCCCTTAGTCTGATGCGGTAGTATGCCTCTTGTAGATCTAACTTAGAAAAAAAATTTCCTTTAGAGAGATGAGCTAGCATGTCCTTCATGAGGGGGAATGGGTACATAATCTCCACGAATATGGTGTTCACGGTATGAAAATCCACACAGAGGTGTAGAGAGCTATCTTTCTTTTCATGAAATAATACTGGGGCTGCTATTTTTGGTCAGGTAGGTTCAATGAAACCCCTTTTTAGATTTTTATTGATAAATGCTCTGCTGTGAGGTCCAGACTCTCTCCCCTTCAAACGATAAGAATGAACTTCTTCTGAAAGCTGGATATTTCAAAAAGAATTCTTTATTGAAATGGAATTTATCCAGGTACTAGTCAAAGCAGGGTCTAATGTGCCTCCAGGTATGCAGCATAATAAAGAGAGTTAGAACCCCTCCCCTTATTCTGATGCAGATTTCATCAATATAAAGAAGCAACATATTAATCCCCCCCCTTTTCTGGGAACGTAGTTGAGAAAAGTTTCCCAGGAAGTTTCTTTCAGAACTGGAATTTTTATGGCCTCTTGCTATCTCTCCAAGAGGTGACAAGTTTCTAGGCATCTGGACTCCAGTCTCCAGTTGTATATCATGTGCAAGTTATACAGATTCAATACAAGACTTAAGATATTCAGGTTACATAAAAAAGGATTACTTATACCAACTCCCCCACCCCCTTCTTCCATTGAAGAATGGCAGATACATGGATCTGACATCCGCTCTCGATGACCAATCCTGCCGCAATGTCAGCCAGAAGTCGAGGGAAATTTTCTTGTTGGTCGCTCTCAGGCATGGTTAGATTCAGGATAGTTCTTTTTATGCAATGTTTTCAGCAAGAAAAAAATGTATTTAGCAGAACTTTAGTCATTAAGCTGGAAATTGCTTTTGAGGAAGGGGCAGTGTGAGTTATGAATGGTGTCTGTTTAATTTTGAATGTCATTGCTATTATTTTTAATTATCCTTCAAGTTTAATTGTTATTTCTATTAATTAAATATTCTAGTTGTATAAACAGATGAGCATTTGTTATTGTCTTGAAATTACTGAAACATTAAATCATTCAAGAAACAAATAAATGCATATTTAATTTTAATTTTGTTGTTTTTATTTCAGGTAAAACGACGCAGGGCAATTATTAACTTAAGGATAATCTATGAAATAAGTTTACAGCATGTTCAGGAATTCAAGCAAAAGTTCCAGTGAACATTCAAATCACTAAAATGACCAAAATATCTTGATCTGAAATATATTAATTAGCTCCTGACAAGAAACTCTAGCACTTGGATGTTTCCAATGGTCTTAAACTCTGCAACTTATTGTCACCAGAAAACACATATATTAAAGAATATAATAATTGAAGGAACATGTCTAATAATGCAGAAATCATCAATCTATCATTTTTATTAGAGCATGAAAAAGAAACAATATTGGGAGTGTTAAAAAGAGATGAATACTTGAAAAAAATGGAAGATAAACGAATCAGGTAATCTTTTAAAAGTATCTATACTATTTAAAATACCAAATATTAAAACTTGGTTTGGAAATGTGTGACTGTTATCAATGTTAGTAGCAATAGTTATAAATGTTCCGTTTTGCTCCTTTTTCATGTGCACAGCTTTGGCCTCCAACGGTCTGATTAAGCCTTTAGAAAAATAAACTTTTTAAAAAGATTATTATTTGTGATAACGAGACTAATTATAAATTGTTGATAAAAAACATATGTGCACATGGCACAATAGAGTCCTGCATGGTTTCACAGAAATCTGGATACATTGTCCAAAATAATTGGTGTGCATAGTACTAACATTATTTTAGAATGATGTTACACATACACACACACACACACACACACACACACAAATTATACAGTACTGTAGCACAAACCTTTCATATTCTGTTGAAATTATTGAATGAACTATGGTTATATCTTCTGGTTTTGCTGATATATAGTAATATGCTTATGTTCACAGGTTCTTTTACAATTCTTTTATTGTTAATTCTAACTAATATTGTGTATTGTATTTCCCACTATCTATCTCAGGAAATGCATTTCATATTAATTATTAATCTATTGTTTGGGCTATTTCTTTATTCTTAAATGTTTTATAGAAAGCACAGTAGTTAATTTCTATGTACATTTAAAACAGTTTAGGCTATTAAGTTATCTTGGCACTTTTTCTTTTTTGTACATAGTAAGAAAAGAATTTTTCACTTGCCTTCCTTTAACACAAATAGTGTGTTAAGTTTAAATAGTGTGCTTCAGTCTAAAACCCAAATGGCACAAATGAAGCTGCTGGTGCACAATAAGCATTAAGACATGAGTGAAACTGATGTTGACAATTTAAAAAATGGTTAGTATTCAAACTATGTACTATTATTAAATTTTTGTACAATACTTGTACTTCTGTTTCTCCTGGCCCTAAGCAAGATAGATAAGAATAGAAAATTGGCTAAAAATCAAATCTTTTGCAGAGCATAGAAGAGGAAATAAGTCACAAATTAGCCTCTCTGATAAATGCCAAAAAATAGACTCGACAACCAAAGAACCATAAAAAGCTTTATTCAGAAAATTTGCAAATATCAGGATAGGACCTCATCATCCTAACATTAGGAGATGAAGACACCACACCCAAAATGGTTATTGCTTTTATAGGATATCACATAGAGAGAATTACATAATTCTTCCTGTTATTCCTGTTCAGTGATTTTAGGAGCTTTCCTTGGTAAATTTCCACTCTAGTTCCACCCAAACCACCATCTCTGATAAACTACCTCATTCTCGTGGCCTTGTCTTCCTGGTATGTCCATGTTAATATTTTTGTAACACAATGGATCATTAACAAGTTCCGCTGGGTCAGGATAACCCAGTATCTCACACATATTCAAATATCGGATAAACATGGATTCCCTTCCATTCTTCATTTTCTCAGGTGTAACCCACAATATGTAATTTTCACACATAACAGCCTCCATAGAGGGAGAAATGTTAAGCCTAAGCAAATCACTCAAATCCTAAAGATCATTGTGTATCTAAGAAGCTTACTGGTTGTTCTTTATTAGCTGTTAGTTCATGTAGGTCTCTGAGCTTAGATGCACTGTGCTTTCTACAAAGACAAGAGTCAGTAACAAAGAGAAGATTGAACAAGTAGAGCAGAATGCAGGCAGTGATTCTCCAGTAACAGAGGAGTCTTCAGGGTTGTTGGGTGTACCTATATATATATTAAGAATTTTGATTGTAATAGTAAAACCCTAAAAACAAATCCATGACATATTTTCAGTTTTGATGTCAGCAGAATAGTCTTTAAAATGTTGCCAAAGGTTATATGTATCTTGTTTTAACCTTGATCAAATAAATCAAATTTATATTTCTTCCTTTTACTTCTAAGTCTTAATCTTTAGTTCCTTCAAATACTGTTGTAGAATTTGATTTCTCTTCATTTCTTCTTTATTTCATCATACAGAAATCCTAACAAGCTTAATCCTTTAACAAGCTTCTTTTGTAAATCCCCCCAAAAGGAAAAATTTCTGGTATAGTCCCAAACCTGCTTTTTCAGGAAGCAATTGGACTTTCTTGGTTTTTCTTTGAAGATGTTTCACTTCTCATCCAAGAAGCTTCTTCAGCTCTGACAGAATAGTGGGGAATGGAAGGATTTATATTCCTTGCAGACAGCTGGTCATGTGCATCCTTTTAGAGGATAGTTGAAGTACTTGGAGGTTTGTCTGTGTACCCTAATAGTGCTTCTGGTTCCTGTAGTCTACAATTTTTTTCTCAGGAAATCCATTCCTATTCTCACACCATTCAAAGGGTGTTCAATGAATGAACAAGAAAGTCCAGTTTCCTCCTGAAAAAGCACCTTTGGGACAACCATGACCTGGATGACAGAGAATCTCTACTGACTTTCTGGTATAGTATTCTCTTTGCAAAACTCTCTGTATAGGTTACTTATATAAAACTGTTCAGAATTTGGGTTTCTGTTTTTAACTGCTATTTTATTGTTTAAATCTGAGTGTTGCCATTCTTAGCAATTGTTAATTTTTTTCTATTGTAATTCCCTAAAATGCCTTATATTATACTAAAGGATCATATGAAAATTCAGAAAGAAATTGAATATAATATTAGAATATTTGAATTTCATTTTCCAAAGATAAAAGGAATTTTTATGATACCCTGTTTTTCATCATTATTACATGCAGTGAAATCTTTAGTTTGGCTTGGTTTTCTTCAATTTGATGTCTGCAGTAAAATGGAGACTACAGTTTTCATGTTTCCTAGTTTGATATTCTGGGAGTTGTAGGATTTGAGGCCATCAAGTTTGAACTGCTGGATTTGACATATGTTTCTAAAGATGGTTGAGCCAGTCCTAACAAGATATACGTACTATATGCACCTTGAATGTGTTATAAAGTAGTGAAAATAATTGGTTATATTCCTAGCCTAGGGTAGGAGATACATACAGTATATAGGTTAATGTCTTTCTTGCAAATGGTAGTAATGTTGGATAAATTTCCTTCTGGGTTCAGTTTCAAGTGGGGAAAAAGACACTGGAAACATGGAGGCTGTTTGGAAAGGTGGTTTAATGATGGAAAGGCTTGGAGCTCCAAAGTGAAAAGGATGATCACATGCCTCAAGATATTAGGTGAAGGAAAAGAAGGGGCAAGATGCTGAGAGACCCTTAGTTTTATACCCTCTGTTGGGCCCCACCTTAGTGATTCCTGTTTCCGTGTAAGAAATGTATCCCATTGGCTGTCTGACTCTCAGGGGCAGGGTGTTTTAGCTAACTTTGTAAGTTTTGTCTGGACCATATGGCTTCACCTGAGTGCTGGCTGATGCAATCTTCCCAGGCCAGGTGGTGAGGTGGGTAGAGGCCTTTGTTATGTAGATTACTCTGGCCCAGGCCTTAGTGGCTCCATTAGCAAAGGTGGGGGTGAGTTCCTGCCTCTCTGAGTTTCTACTTCTCTTTTAGTGGAAATATTCTGCCTTTTTAATATTTCCTAGGATATTTCATTATCCTAGGAGAGGGGTGGGCACTAACTTCCTACAGTAGTATATTGATACTGTAATTATACCAGATTTATTGGATTAATACAGCTGTAAAATGCATTATTTGCATCATATGTATGTTGTTCATAATATTTGAATTAAAATTGTCTTTTGTAGTCCAAGCAATTTTATATTAAACTACAATATTAGCTTAAATAAATGAAAATGTCTCTCTCTTAAGTATCATATCCACTGATTTCAAAGGAAAGAAGGCAAAGTGCATAATTGGGCATCCTGAAAATTTACCTATGTTCTTAGATTTTTACTTTTTAAAATTCTATTAATTAAACTTTTCAACAAACACAGTTTTTATTCTCCATGTGAAAGCCAAATCTGGCTCTAGGTTCTGCCTCAGTTTATCTTCCCAATAAGCAACTGAGTCAGAAGATCATTTAAAAGCAGTTTATTAGGGTATCCTGATAAAGTGGGGTTCTCTTTGTAAAAGGGAGAGAGAACTTTGAGCCCCGTGTTTCCCTCATTTTTATAGTTAACACAACAAAGAAAATGCAAGAGGAAAGTTGATTGGACAGAATAAAGATAATTTTCCCTTTGCATAGAAAATCAGTTACATGGTAGTCAAATATGTTACAGATTTGTATCCCATAATACCACACATATTTATTTAATATGAGGTCCAACGTCAGAAGGGGTGTGATTGTAAAGAAAAAGGTTGTTTAGAGTTCACAAAAGAGATAAACCAGACCTCAGGTTGTGCTAACAAACTTTTCTTATCTGGAGCTAGTCTCCAGCTTGTTTATCAGTTTGGGAATGTTAAAAGCTAATTAATCTGAACATAATTTTAAAAAAGAGAAAATAAATCAAATTAAAATACAAGGTAATTATGTTAGTTAACAAATAACAAAACCCATGTTATTTGCCCCTCATAATCCCCCTTTAATGCTAAAGGGAAAATAAAAGATGCCCTTTCAGCATCACCAAAAAAAGAAGTTTTGACCAACAGGATTAGGAACCAAATGCGTAGAAGAATCAATTCAGGGAAAAGGGAATAGAAGCCTGGTAGAAACCAGTGTCCCCAAAACACATTGAATTGGGCAGGCACTCTGAGGAAAAAGAAAGAAAACAAAATCCCTAATATATCGATCAAAATAACAAACATCAAAAAATGGTCAATTAGGTCAAGAGCAGGGGTGGTATTCTACCGGTTTGGCCTGGTTCTATAGAACTGGTTGTTACAGTTCCTGGTAGTTTGGAGAACTAGTAAATCGGGTCTCTGGCTGGTCCCTCCCCTCTCCGCCTACTTCTCCGCTCGCTTCTCCGCTGCCTGCCTGTCAGTTCTTATCACGCATGTGCGACATTGCACGCATGCACAACACTGCTGCCTGCTCTTGCATGCCTACCAGGCCAGCCATTTCTGCCTGCCTTCTGCTGCGTCCCTGCCTTTACTGATCTCCCTGGGTGAGCCCCAGTTCCCGTCCCCCTCCCACTTGCCTTTTGTTGCCACTGCTGGTTGCCTTTCCCCCCACTTGCCTTTTGCCACCACCGCCAGTCGCCTTTCCCCCACTTGCCTTTTGCTGCCGCTGCCGGTCACCTTCCCCTTCACTTGCCTTTTGTCACCACCGCAAGTCACCTACCCCTCCACATGCCTTTTGCTGCCGCTGCTGGTCACCTTTCCCCTACCACTTGCCTTCTGCTGAGGAAAATGTGGAGAGGCTTGTATAGGATCTGGCCAGGTCAGTGGCTGCTTCTCTCACCTGCTGCTGCACAGCGGAAAGCTTCCAAGTCCACCCCCTCCCATTAGAAATGGCTCCAGGGCAAGCAGAGAAGCAAGCCAGGTTGAATCCTGCTTCTCTCTGCTTGCCCAGGAACAGTTTCCGATGGGGGGCGATTCAGAAGCTTTCCGCTGTTTTGGAAAACTTTTGCTGTCCCAAAAGCAGCAGCAGGTGATAGGCAGCAGGTGATCGAATAGAAGCAGCCACTAACCTGACTCGAGCCTCCATGAGCCTCCACATGTTCCTTCCTGCTGCTGTTGATGGAAGGCAAGAGTTTTCCAGTACAGCAGAAAGCTTCCAAGTCCCCCCTCCTATTAGAAACGGCTCCAGGGCAAGCAGAGAAACAAGCCAGGTTGTATCCTGCTTCTCTCTGCTTGCCCATGAGCCGTATCTGATGTGGGGGGGGGGGGGAATTCGGAAGCTTCCCACTGTTTTGGAAACTTTTGATCTCCCAAAAACAGCAGCAGGAAAGAACATGTGAAGAGGCTCGTGTCAGCAAGGCGCCAATCGAGTCTGGGACAGCTGATGGTGGCTGCAGGGAGCAGAGCCTGGAAGCGCCGATATACCATGTGTGCGGCCACATGGATGGCAGGGGATGGATGGACTGGTCCCGGAAGCCCTGATGCCTCCAGAATCGCCATTGCCACCTCGCTGCTGCTGCATCCCCCACCCGCTGCAGGTATAGTGAGTGTGAGCCCCGGGATGGGTGACCAACTACCTCAACTGCTTCTCCCACTGACTTTTCTGTGCCAAGAGTGGAGGAGAGAGAGAAAGACACACACACACACACATATACACACAGAGAGAGAGTGGGGGAGAGAGAGGGGAAGATAGGGAGAGGGGCAGAGAGAGACACATACAGAGAGATATGGGGGGGAAGGAGAGACAGAGAGACAGAGAGAGAGGAAAAGAGAGGGGGGGAGAGAGAAAAAGGAAATGAGAGAGGGGAAGAGAGAGGAAAGGGGGAGGGGGAGAGAGAGAAAGGGGGAAGAGAGGGAAAAGAAAGGGAAAGTGAGAAAGGGGGAAAGAGAGAGGGAAAGAGAGAAAAAGGGAAAGAGGAAGAGGGGAGAGGGGGAGAGAGAAAGGGGAAGAGAAAGAGGGAGAAGAGAGAGGGAAAGAGGGAAAACGAGAGAGAGGGAGAGATGGAAAAGGAAAGGGAAAAAGGGAAAGAGAGGGAAAAGAAAGGGAGAGAGAGAAGGGGAAAAGGGAAAAAGAGGGAAAGGAAGAGGGGAAGAGAGATAGAGAAAGGGGGAGAGAAAAAGGGGAAGAGAGGGAAAGAGGGAGAAAGGGAAAGAGAGGAAGAGGGTGTCAGGTGGTGCTCAATTCAAAATTCAAGAAAGAAAAACTTAGACTCTAGATTAGAGCAAAGAAATCTTTTACTGAAGATGAAGTGGTAGCATCAAATAGAATTCTGAATCTAAGAAATTAGGTGCGCAGACCACATATACGAAGTATTGGAAACGTTCCCACCCCTCATAGTTCAAATGAGTCTTCCAATTAAAAGTTGTGAATATGATCATGTGAGCATCTTCAGGTGGTGATGAGGCCTCTGTCTGTTGACCTTGACATATTTTGATAAAGAATTTGCAGTTGTGCAGAGAAAAGAAAGCTAAGCGAGGAATAGAAAGTTAAGAGCAGGAATTTATACTCCCCCCACCCACTCCTCATTTACACAACACAAGAATGTAACACCTCCAGCTCTTTTCCCAGACATATCCCCTCCCCCCGTTACTTATGGCAGCCAAAAGATGCAAAGCAGTAGAAAAGATCTTGAAGACTGACAGAGGGAGAGAGAAGAAAGTGAATGAGATATATGGATGGATAGATAAATACATTGAGGGAGGGAGGGAGAGAGGAAAAAAAGGAGAGGAAGGAAGGACACAAATCCTGTGTTCAGAAGACTCTTTGAAGCAGCACAGCAATCTAGGACTGGCCTGGAAGGGATCTCGGTTATCTTCTAGTCCAACTCGCTGCTCCAGCAGGGTTAGAAGGAAGTGTGTGTGTGTGTGTGTGTAGAACTGGTTGTTACAGTTCCCAGGTGTTTGGAGAACCGGTAAATTGGGCCTCTGGCTGGCCCCGCCCCCTCTGCCCGCTTCTGCTCCCTGCTCAGTCAGTCCCTTTCATGCATGGGCAACATTGTGCCCTCCCTGGGCCTCCCTGTAGCTCCCCAGGCCTCGTCTTGCCCTCCGTAGACCTCCCCGTACCTCGCCAGGTCTGGCCCTGTCCTCTGCAGGCCTCCTTGTAGCTCCCTGAGCCTTGCCCTGCTCTCCACAGGCCTCCCCGTAGTTCACCAGGCCTTGCCCTCCCCTCCACGGGCCTCCCATAGCTCCACGGGCCTTGCTCTGCCCTCCTCAGGCCTCCCCGTAGCTCACTGGACCTTGCCTTGCCCTCCCTGGGCCTCCCTGTAGCTCCCCAGGCCTCGGCCTCCCCTCTGTATGCCACCCCACAGCTCCCCAGGCCTCGCCCTGTCCTCCCCAGGCCTCCCTGTAGCTCGCCGGACCTCGCCCTGCCCTCCCTGGGCCTCCTGGTAGCTCGCTGGGCCTTGCCCTGCCCTCCCCGGGCTCTCCGTATCTCCCCAGGCCTTACCCTGCTCTCCGTGGGCCTTGCTGTAGCTCTCCCTGCCCTCTCAGGGCTCCCCAGGCCTTAGAAACTGGCAAAAATATAGAAAATCTCAGTCACAAGACTGTGTGGGATGTTGTAACTGGTCATAAGTGTGTGTGCATGTGCATGTCTCTGTGTGCATCATTGTCAAAATACCAAAAACAGGTCAAGTAGCTCTGGGGAGGTCAGTCATAAATTAGAACAGTTACAAAGCAACTGGCCATTAAGCAAGGACCACTTATATTTGTTTTGCCAGTCACATGGCCACCTGGCCACACCCACCCCAGTCACATGACCACTTAGCCATGCCCGCTCCAGTCACATGACTACCCAGCCATACCCAGTCAGCACGCCATGCCCACCCAGTCGCGTGACCACCAAGCCACACCCTCATATTAGGCCACACCCACAGAACTGGTTGTTAAGAAATTTGAATCCCACCCCTGGTCAAGACACATAGCCAGGAAGGAGTAAATTTCTTTTTAAAAAATGAAGAAAGTATTGTGGTGTGTCAACGCAGCAGAGACATTAGAAGTCCAAATTCAGTATGTCATATTCCGAGGGAAAGTGAGCATTGTGTGGAGGGATATGCGATATATGCAGGAAGTATAGATCATCCTGTATTATCCTAGAGACTAAGAAAAAAGATGCATCTAGAAAAAATATGAAGAGTTTAAAAATCCCAATAAAAAGGAATGCCCTCCATAGGTGGTATACATACCCAGAAATCTGCTAGCTCTAAATGTACAGCAAGGTAGAGAACATTTTAAGAGAGAGGAAAAAATAGCCTTCAAAGTCAACAGTTGACCTAATATTGGCCATCTTGTTTAGCATATTCCATGCTATGCAGTTCCTCTGCATTATGGAGCAAGAAATCCTTTTGTAGAAAGAAAATGTAAATACAAGGTCAGTTATCCTCATAAGTTACTATCCCCTCAGTAACTGCTGCACCCAGTCTTCCACAAGCATTCCCTGGATGGGTTTATAGGTAGGTAGCCCATAAATACACTTCAAATACATGGAACCTGAACAAGAAATACACATAATAAATGAAAGCATACAAATAATTATATACCTAAAAACCAATACCCAAATGTTCACCATCCCAATGTTCTGTTAAGCTAATACAGCATTAGTCTTAGGACAAGACTAATCAGTCATATGGCAGTCCAGTGATGCCAATCTTGTAGCTGAAATGATGATCATCTGTGCAGCATCTGTAGTGATCAGCAGGAAAAGTGTAACCAAGTTCATTGTTGTACAGTTTTCAGTCATGTGGAAAAACTCTTCCCAAAGTGGTTGGAGTTTCTCTGCACAGGTTCCTATCAAAATCTACTGAATCAAAAGACAATCACTAGTTATTAGTCCCAGGAAGCCAGGATTCTATTAGCACTCACCACACATCTATTACTATTTCCACTCAGGTTCCATGTTGTTGTTATCGAGCATTTTCTGTTCTGTTGCTATAGCTCTCAATTATGTCCACCAGCAGGAAAATAAGTTCCTCCTTCCACTCCTGGGATATGCAAACTTTCTCCCCTTTGGATAGACTAGGTGAGATGCGCAGCTTCCCTTCTTTGAATGACCTGTGGTCAGACAGGTGACGAAGCAGCTGTTAAAAAAACTTTTTAAAAAGTCATAAATGCCATTACTGATTTGGGCTGTTTCCAGTCTTGGAATCTGATAAGACACCTGGCCTTTTGCCATAGGTGCTAGAGAAGTCAAAGGCACAGTGAGTGCAAGCCACAGCACCAGAACCCGAAGTGTCCAGCTTCATTTTGCCATGATTGCACATACTGCTATGATCTTGTTGATAAAATACCTTTAAATGATTCAGTGTCAAAGTCCAGGCAGATTAATTCACAATATTAAGTTTGGGGGGTGGGGGGAATCCAAACTTAGTTGAACATAACTAGCCATGGTTGGCTCTTGAATCTTGATAGGTGTAAGTATATAGTCATGATGGCGAACCTATGCCATGCATGCCGGAAGTGGCACGCAGAGCCTTTTCCCCTGGCATGCGAGAGCTTGCCTGGAAGAGCCCCACTGCACATGTGCACACGCCACCTGACAGCTGATTGTCAGGTATCTGGCACGCATACGCGGGGGATGGGGTGTGTGGGGGAGATACATGCGCATGCACAGAGGTGCACAGCATGCACTGGGGAGTCACACATGCATGCACAGAGACACGCAGTGCACAGAGGGATCATGCGCACATGCAAATGGGTGGTGCACGAGAGGGATTGCGCACACATGCACAGGTGCATGGTGCATGTGGGGGGTGATCGCAGGCGCATGGCAAGGGGAATTGTGCACACAGACATGCAGCAAGGGGAAATGCATGCTCAAGCACAGGGGGTGTGTGGGGCCCCAGCACGCATTGACTTCTGGGTGCTGGCACGTAAGCGCATGTGCAATTATCGGCACGGGAGCCGAAAAAGGTTTGCCACCACTGCAATGTAAGAAAAAGCTGCTAGGCAGAATTGTCCTCTCTTCTTAGAGCGATTAGGAGAGATTAGCACTTCAGCATAACTATCAAACGTGCTCCCATACAATGATAGGACTATATGCAATCACTTAATAGACAAAGGCAAGAATGGGACCCACTATTACTTAATATTTAAAATATTAAATATTAAGCAAAAACATTTAATACTTTCCAAATTATTTTTTTTTCAATTTTTTTTTATTTCAATCTACATATAACAACAATACATTAACAGCGTGGCATCAATATATCATACATCTCTCATTGCATTATATTCATATTAATTCATACTTCTTCAATATTTATTTTCAACCTTACTCTCTCCAAATGCCTACCACCGTATCAATTAAACATACCTAATAAATTCAATTTTCTCCCTGTTTTTATTTTATTTTTTTTAAATGAAAAATTCTCATTTGGCAAGCAGTGTGGTTCCAGGTTTCACATCTCAATACAAACATGACCATTGTTACCTATGCATTTTATTAGTTTAATTTCATATTGCATCATCCTTGTCATTATTAAATATTAAGCTTCTTATCCAATCCTAATTCATGTTCTCATATCTTATTTTACAATATTATCTAAAATTCTCATCAATTCTATTTATTCAATTCCAAGTTGTAATATATCTCCTTCCATTTTTCTTAGTATATTCTCATATCTTATTTTACAATGTTATCTAAAATTCTCATCTCCTTTCTATTATCATCTCATATTATTATTTTTTCCTGTCACATTTGTCATTTTATCAATCCTTATCTGTAAATATAATTGTCCCCTCTAGTTAATAATTTGAGCTAACCACCTTCATTCTTCCTTAATATTAAGCTCCCTATCTAGTATAAAACACAAATATATATATATATATACCCGCAAAAACTTAAGAATATATATATATTTTTTTTTTCTTAAGTTTTCGCGGGTGCTTACATGTATGGCATTCAGCTTTGTTCGGGTATTTTCCCACGTCATTTTAGTTGTGCTTTTAAAGTTGTAGTAACGTTTCGGCAGAATCTCAGAAGCCTGATGATGGCAGATGAGATTCTGCCAAAACATTGCTACAACTTTAAAAGCACAACTACAATGATGATATATACACACACACATACACACACACACACACACACACACACACACACACACACATATATATATATATCTTTGGTTATTCGGATTTTCTCCCGCGTAAGATTGGAAGTATCTAGGCAACGTTTCGATGAAGTCTCATTCATCATCTTCAGGCTTCTGTCTTCGGCTCTGTGCTTCTCAGAGTGATGTGAGCTTGCAGCTGCTTCTTCCTTTTAACTGCTAGTGGGGGTGTGACTTGATTGGGTGGGGGCTTGGCTGTGTTCTGATTGGGTGGGGGTGTGTTCTCATTGGTAGGGGTTTTGGCTGTGTTCTGATTGGCTGGGGGGTTGGCCATGTTCTGATTGGCTGGAGGCATGTTCTGTTCAGGTGGGGGCTTGGTTGTGCTCAGGTTAGTCTTAGTTGCTGGGGGATTTGAGCTGGTGAGCTGTGATCCTGCTGTTTGGCTTCGAGTTCGTGGTCGTGCTGCATCTTCATGGTGGGTGTCAGTTTGCTTCATGTATAGGTGGGAGGGGTTTGAAGTGGGTAGTGATGCAGCTGCAGTGCAGCTTCTGGTCCGTGGTTGTGTCTTGTCTTCTGTGTGGGTGTGAGTCTGCTTTCTGCGTGGAGGTGTGGTGGTGGCATCTTGTGTGGCCCTCATGGGTGTGGGTCTGGTGTCATTCTTCATGTTAGGTACTCGTCTGTTCATGAGGGCGGGTTTCCAAATGGCTGGTAGGTGGGAGGTGTCATCTCGTTTATTCATATTTTCTCTATGAATCATCTATATATCACAAAATACTATTTTCAATATATTCTTATACATCCCAACATATTACCTTGCGGAATCCCCTTCCTAATCCCTTTTTTTTCCACCCATTATCTCTCACTCTTTGAACAATGTACCTTCTTTTCATTGTTTGTTTCCTGTTCCTCTTTATTTTCTGGTCCTTTCTCTTAATTCCCCTTTTCACCATTCTTATTCCCCTCCTTTTTTCATTCCAGTTATTAAACTTTTCTGTCTCCCTCTTTTGATTTTTCCTTTGCATGTCCTTCTTCTGCTTTTCCCTTCTCTTTAACCATTTTCCAAACCATTCTCCCTTTTATCATCCCATCAGACCACAAATTTTTAATTCTAATTCCTTTTCCTCCCTGCTTAAATAATCGTTGTTCGTTTTGTTCTTCTAAGTTGGCTTCTTCGTTATAGAACTTCTCCCCCTCTGGTTTATTGTGTTCTTGTGTATGCTGAGTCACCATTTCTAATTTCTGTAATACATAATTACACATTTCAAGTTTGATTTTTATCATGTCCCTTGTATCTTGCATATCTCATATATCTTGTGAATCAAGTCTTATATCAAGTAGCTCCTCCATTATATCTTCTCCCTTTTTTTCTTTCCTCTTCCTTAATAGTTGAAATCCTCTTCTTTGATAGATATATTCAATCCCAGAGTCCAGTATCTTATTTCAGCCAATACCTTTTGAGTTTATTTTCAACAATTCATACTCTTTGAGTCTTTATTCCAAATCTTCTAATTGGCCTCTCAACTGTTTCCCAAATTACCAGGTAGTTCTATGGCAATAATAAACTTCCTTTTATTTTCTTTCAAGTTCCAAGATCCAAACTCTCAAAAAAAACCAGACACTCGTTTTAAAATGGACTAAAGTTTTCCTGTACCATCAGGTGGTGCGCTTGAGTCTTTTTCTTTTAACTTTCTTTATTGAATATAATATTTTTATTAAGTTCGCTAATTTCAATCATTAGCTATTCTTTTTAACACACTCAATTCCAGCATTTAGGTATGCCCTTTAAGTGCCCACAGTTCAATACATGTCCAGTTTAATTTTTAATCCTTTGTATTGTTAATGTATTTTCATTGAAATTTCTCCTCCAAATTAGTCCAATAGAATAATCAAATCCAAATTTAAACACCAATTTCTTTCTCAGTTTCTCTGGTCGCCGCTTCCACACACTTTCCTCCAAAATAGCCCTTTAATTTGATACCAGGGTGCCTCAAAAGCAATGTCCTTTGCCTGATTCATACTCTGCTCGCTATTTCTCTCTCCAGCACAAAACTTAGTTTCCCGGAGTGTTCTTTGTCTTTGTGGTGGCCATTTTGGGACCACAGCTGCAGCTTGCCTTTGGGAGGGATTTTCCTGTTAGGGAGGGGAGTTGCAGCTCCCCTCAACCCTTCCCCTTTCTTCACCACCCCACCAGGTTGGCTGCAGTCCCAATCGGGACCCTCCAGCAAGTGAGCTCGAGCGAAACTGCGCACAATCGCGGATTCGCACCGACTCCAACGAGGAACAAACTGGAAGTCAATATTTTCCAAATTCTTTATAATACCCAGAATAAGGTCCTACAAAGTTGGGAAACTAAATGAGAATGTATTCATCATTTTCTGGATTGCTTCCACAGCTAAAGATTTGTGATAAGTGAGAGCAGAAATGAAATAACAGACTTTATATTCTGAAACATGTAACTGGCTTTTATTGAAGTAGATACTGCAGTATCGATCAGCCTTTAACACATACTGGTCATAGTATGAGGAAAAGCAGACACCTCTTCCAGTAAAAACCACATATTTATACCCCAAAATAGTTATATAAACAGTTATATAACACATCTTGTTTTCCAAATCAAAAATACATAGAATCCCATAGGAAAGTTGTGGGTCCTTCCACAAAAATCCCCCCACTTGACATTGGAAGATTATCAACATTCTTTATTCAGATTTATCTCCAGATTTTCTGTTATTCAAATACCAGAAGATTATAATAGGGTCATTAATTTCTCTTAATGTGACTATATAATGTCAAAGTGCCCTAGAACACATCTCTAACTTAAGCCAAGTACCTAGTTTTGCAATCTGGTATAATTGTCTAGCAAAAACACTTTTCATAACTGTTCTGAGCTTTTAAAAGTTCAGACTGAGAACACAAAATGGCTTCAGTTCGGCTCTTTATATTCTCAGGTGTAATAACCAAATTCCACCTATAACAATCCACCGTTTGTTTTTGTAACCAATTTACACCTGAGAATTATCATCAAGCTCTCTTAACATAAGCCTAACTTCCTGCTAACTAAATATTTTACGTTTTACTTCAGGTTTCTTAGTCTTACAACAGCAGAAACATAATTCACATAATGGTATACTCTTAACACAAATACATGAAATAAATCCTATTATAAGAATTATAACAATTCCAAGGAATATCTCCTTTATCCATCCAAAATTTGGTAACCAGGAAGTCAAAACATGCCATATATGTCTTAAAGCATTACTATCTGTAACATGAGTTAAATGAGAAGTTATATTATGTAAAGCCTTCAGCTTAGACTCAATAAATTGTGATTTGTCTTTTATTTCAAAACAACAAAGTCCTTTGAATTCCTCGCATCCATAACCTATTCTAAGAAGTATATAATCAATCGCTACATGGTTCTGTAACACAGACTTCCTTATTTTTGCCATCTCATCAGCTAAGGCTGCAACAGCAGACGAAGTTACATTAATACTCTTAGCTAAGCACAAGCTAAATGTCCTAACTGCATATTATTATAGTATGTAGCTCCCCAAGCAAATATTCCCAAAACACCTGCTTCTATTTTAGACAAAACTACTACTTCATCATCACAATCTGAAGAATAGGCATCACTAAGATCTGATCTTTTACCTCTATATTTCTTCACATGTTCACCTACAGGCTCAAGTTCATCTCCAATACTTCAGATGTATCTCCATTCACAACTGCATACCCATTCATACGTTTACCATTTTCTACTTGAGAAGATCCATCAATAAACAAATTAATACCTCACTCTATTGGACTATCTTCTAAATCTTCTCTTATTTTAGTCTGTAAATCTATAGCTTCAATGCAATCATATTCTATATTATCCCATTCTTGTTTCTCTCCTGAAAGGAATTCAGCTGGATTCAAATTCCTGTCAGTTGAGAGGAGCAAATCCTCCTGAGACAATAAAATTGATTCGTATTTCAATAATCTAGCATGTGTAAGCCATTTTTGTGCTCTCTGCATTAAAATTGTTCTCACCTGATGTGGACTGCTTACCACTAAAGCACTTCCAAAAGTTAGCTTCCTACTTTCCTCCACCAATATAGCCATAGCTGCCATTGCCTGTATACATAAAGGCCAACCACGCACTACCGGATCCATCAATTTTTGATAAAAATGCTACAGGTTTCTTCTTCCCAGTCCAGACCCAAGCTAGAACACCTTTAGCTATTCCATCTTCTACTGCTACAAATAAATGAAAAGGTTTCTTCAAATCAGGTAAACTTAGTACAGGAGCTTGTATCAAGGCTTTCTTAAGCTTCTCGATTTTATTCACCTCTTCACTATTCCATACAACCTCCCACGGTTCATCATCCAACAATTTCTCATAGAGGAACTTAAGCTTATCTGTATAATTACCTATCCAAAGACAACAATAGCCTAACAACCCTAACAATTTTTGAACTTCTTGGTTTTCGGTATAGGTTGTCTGACTATCCCTTCAATCCTTTCCAGATTTATTCTCTTACTTCCATGACTAATTAAATGTCCTAAGTATTAAACCTCAGACTCCACATATTGCAATTTCTTCTTTGAAACTCTCAAGCCCTGTTGTCCCAAGAAATTCAACAATGCATTTGTGCCTTTCTCTACCTCCCGTTTCTTCTCACCTGAGACTAGCAAATCATCCACATATTGCAACACTGTTATTCCCACAGGTGGTTCAAACCCTTCAAGGACTTGCTCTAATGCTTGTCCAAACAAATTAGGGCTCTCTGAAAACCCCTGCAATAACACATTAATACTGTTGAGTTCGATGTGTATCAGGATCTGTCCGTTCAAAAGCAAAAATATATCTCGAGTTCTCAGCCAAAGGACATGTCCAAAAAGCATCCTTCAAATCTATTACACTAAAATATTTATGCTCATGTGGAATTCTCCCCAATAATGTATAGGGGTCCCATGTAACAATGTGTCTTTCAACTACCAATTTATTAACGGCTCTCAGATCAGTTACTAATCTAAAAGAACCATCAGGTTTCTTTACAGGTAAGATAGGTGTATTATATGGTGACATTACAGGCTCAATTAGTCCATCCCTCAATAGAGACTCTATCACTGGCTTTAAGCCACGTCTCCCTTCTAGGGAAATATTATATTGCTTCTGCCTCATTGGCTCAACACCCTCTTTTAAAATCACCTCCACAGGTGTAATATTCAAAACACCTCTATTCCCTTTTGCTTCCCACACTATGGGATCTATAAATCTCTCCTGTTCATCAGTCAGTAAATGAACAGTGCACTTCTCTGCAGAAAAGATAAGCTCACATCCTAATAAAGACAAAGCATCTTATCCTAAAAAGTTCATACCTACTTCAGGTATATACAAAACATCCAATGTTATCTCAGAGTGTCCTCCTTTTTGAGACACATTTTCAACAATAGCAACATCAAAGGGTTCCCCCTTAACACCAGAGACTATCATGGTTTTCCCCTCCTGAGTAATGCCCTCAGGTAACTCACACAAAGATATTCTAGCCGCCCCAGTCTACTTGGAAAACACAGTATTTCCTCAGGTCCCACTTTTAAATTTTCTTTTTTTTTTTAGAAAAAACTTTATTAATTTTACTTTTAAAAGAAAACAACACAGCTACAAATTATATACAACAAAAAGACAAACAGGTCTTGGCATAGGCCAAGAGGGAAAGAGAGGAAGGCTTGAGAGAGGAAAAAGGGAAAGGTAAGAGAAGGGGGGGAAAGAGTAGGGAAAACAATTATAATAAAACCATATTTTTTGTGACTGTCTGTAAGGTCCTTTCTTCTTCAAAACTATCGTTGGTGGTGCTTTTCTTTATCTCTGCTTCGGAGGCCCTCGGCCTTAATTTTCCTAGAGGTGATCTATCTTTGGTTTAGCCAATTATACCAAGGATTCCAATTGTTATAATAGGTTGAGGATTCTTTATTTTTTAATGCTTGGGTTAGTTTGTCCATTTCGGCGCATTGTAAAATTTTCTGAATAACCATAAGTTCAGTGGGGATAGAAGGTAGTTTCCAGCACTGGGCAAATGCCAGTCTGGCCGCGGTTAAGATATGGATTGTAATATACTTCGATTTTTTGGATATTTGTTTATCAAAAATTCCTAGAAGGAAGGACTCTGGTTTGTACTCAATTTGTTCCTTGGTTATTTCCTCTAGCCAGTGCCTAATTTTTTGCCAGTACTTCTGGGTTTCCTTGCATGACCACCACATGTGGAAGAAAGTACCTTCTATATTTTGACATTTCCAACATTTGGGGCTCGTGTTGGGGTGCATCTTCGCCAATCTCGAAGGGGGCAGGTGCCATCTATAAAACATTTTATATGAGTTTTCTTTATAAGCTGCTGATTTCATGATCTTAATGTTCCTGTTCCAGATCTTTTCCCATTCGGCTAGGGTAATGCTCCGACCCACGTTTCTGCTCCATGCAATCATATTTCCTTTGACAATTTCTTGTTCTAGTTCTGTTTCTAATAAATGTTTGTAAAATTTAGATATATTTTTTTACTTGATTCTAATAGAATTTTGTCTAAAGTCTGTAATTTATTGTAGATTCCAAATTCCTTAATGTCTTGTTTGTATCTACTATGAATTTGAAGGTACACCCACTGATCAATTATAAACCCTCACTCTTGTAATTCTTGTCGTGTTTTCAGCTTTTCTGGTGGGTCTAATAAATTTTCGTACTTAATCATTTTGGTTATGTCCAAATTATTAGGGTGTACTATCGCTTCCATTGGAGATAGCCAAATCGGTATTTTTAGATAAAGTTTTTTACGTACTTTTTTCCAGTTAGTTAATAAAGAGTCCCTGATAAGATTCCTATGGAAATATGATTGCCTGGGTTTCCCAGTTTCCCACAGAAAGGCATGCCATCCTTTCTGCATATCGTGGCCTTCTAATACTAGTGTTCTTTTGTTGGTTAGATTCACCCAATCCTTTATCCATAGTAGGGTGGCTGCTGTATGATATATTTCTCAATTTGGCAGGGCTAACCCTCCTCTGCTTTTCGAATCTTGTAGGGCTTTTACGTTAATCCTAGCTTTTTTCCCCTGCCAAATAAATTTCAACGTTATCTTGTTTAGTTCCATAAAAAATTTTTTATTTAATTTGATTGGAATTGTCTGGAATAAATATAGAAATTTTGGCAGAATATTCATCTTAATCAAAGCAATCCTGCCCAATAAGGAAAGTTGTAATTTACTCCAGGAATCTAAGTCTTTCTTTGATTGTTGGAGAAGTTTGTCATAGTTGTTTTCTTTTAACGATTTGCTTTGTGGAGTTAGCCAAATTCCTAAGTATTTAATTTTTTTTGTCACCTGTATTCCCATTGTTGTCTCTAGCTCTTTATTCTGATCTCCTGTTAAATTTTTAGTCATTAATTTCGTTTTTCCCCTGTTTATTTTAAATCCTGCGACTTCTCCAAATCGTTTTAGTTCTTCTAATAAGTTGTGTCCTTTTTCTATGGGCTCCTCCAGAAAAAAAACCAAATCATCAGCGAAAGCTTGTACTTTATACTCTTCTGATTTGATCCTCATCCTCTAATTCTCAAATTTTGCCTAATGTACATCAGAAGAGATTCTAGGGCGAATATGAAAAGCAGAGGGGAGAGAGAGCAACCCTGTCTTACCCCTTTTTCTATTTTTATCGGACCAGTTTTTCCCCATTTATTAGAATATTTGCCT